TACACCAGGTGGGCCCTGATTGAACTCGTGGAAACCATAAGAGGACATCAGCCTGTGCCAGATTCCGATCTCAAGCAAGGCACGGCAGCACGGCGGGATACGGCAGGAGGTGTCTGTAGAGCAACTGGGGGCAGGTGCCGCACTGCAGATCGTTTCTCCGCTCCGTAAGGCCAGGCCAGCATGTAGAGCTGCGCCTCAAAGGCTCAGCGCAGAGAAAAGCCATCCCAGTTGCTGTGCCACTCATGCCGCTTGCAAAGCTTTGGTGCAAATTGGTGCAGGTGCCGGCAATCTGGGGTACTGGCCAAAGCATAGACTTGGCCGTGCTTGTAAATAGGTCTGCAGCTTCCAATATCGCGGCCTTTGAAAACCGCATCTAATTCATCATATTTCCGGACACCAGGCACCACATACATGCATGCAGCAATTGATGGTGACTTGCTGATGGGCGACCATCCCAAAAGCAAACCGGAGAGGACGGCGGCTGACCTGGTACCTGTCGAACTTGAGCGGCAGTCTTCGGGGTGTCCTCTGCGGAATGCTGGCCTCAGGCTTCCAGCGCTCCCGCTGCTGATCATGATTGTCTAGGAAGAGGAGCGCCCGGTCGGTGGGAACAGGCCTGACGTCTCCAGAACGAAACACGAAACGACCGACTCCTGTCAGCTATGAGCTTCTGGCGATTCACATACTCCATAGCGACAGTCTGGAAAGCCTTCGCAAGAACAGTGCGATCTTTTTGATCATGCGACGGACCCAATCGTAGCAGGAATCGCCGATGTCTTGCCTTCACGCTGCAACCGGAGAAGCTCGCCTAGTTGGCGGGACCTTCCAGAATGTAAAGTCTTATCTGAGCACGTGAGAACGCATATTTGTCCGGATGCCTGTTGAACCAGCCGCCGGCTTTTCCATCAAAGAGCGATTCGGCAACACGCTGCCCGAATGTAAAGTCAGTCGCCGAGCCGATGGATGTTGCCTGACACGGCTGCACGCACATTGAAGCGACTGTGCCCGATAGCCGTCCCGCGCAACACTTGAAAACTACAGTCAAGTGGGACCTGATCGCTACTGGTAGATAATGTAGGGAAGCTCGCGTGCTTGCGCGGTGGTCCTCATGGCTTGTCTTGCCTTGGTCTATTATCTGGAGTCTATGGATGAAAGACTCCTGTCCGTCCTTGGTTGCTGTGCTCCAGACCCAAAGCCTTTGCTGTAATAAAAGAAGGCACGTTCACGAGCAGCAGCAGCAGTAGCAGGAGCAGTCACAGAAGCAGTAGTAGTAGTAGTAGTAGTAGTAGTAGTAGTAGTAGTAGTAGTAGTAGTAGTAGTAGTAGTAGTAGTAGTAGTACTAGTAGTAGTAGTAGTAGTAGTAGTAGTAGTAGTAGTAGTAGTAGTAGTGTAGTAGTAGTAGTAGTAGTACTAGTAGTAGTAGTAGTAGTAGTAGTAGTAGTAGTAGTAGTAGTAGTAGTAGTAGTATATAGTTATTAGGAGTAGTAGTAGTAGTAGTAGTAGTTGCAGTGCAGTAGCAGTAGCAGTAGTTAGTGGTAGTGGTAGTGTAGTCGTAGTAGTAGTAGTAGTAGTAGTAGTAGTAGTAGTAGTAGTAGTAGTAGTAGTAGTAGTAGTAGTAGTAGTAGTAGTAGTAGTAGTGGTAGTAGTAGTGGTAGTAGTAGTAGTAGTAGTAGTAGTAGTAGTAGTAGTAGTAGTAGCCGCCACGGCTCAGACGTTTTGGAAGTTTCGCGCTGGCTTTCGAACAGGCTCTGGACTCCAACCCTTCGTTGCTAGAGGTCTCAAACAGGCCTCTCTCTGAACGACTAAGGGTTGGTGCCTCACGCTGAGCCATGTGCCATGTGCCAACTGTTTGCGTCTGAGCCGCCAGGTCCCAATTCCTGGACCCAGTACCCTGTCTCAACACGGGCCCACTGGGCAGGCGGTAGGGTTTCCACTAGCCGCGTGGTGGAGGGAGTCACTAGGCTTGCCTTGTGACGAAATAGCGGATGGCGCTGCTCCCAGTGCACTCACACAATTATTCTCAGATCAGGAAGAATTCTTTCAAGCATGTTTGCCGACAGGTGGCTGCCAGCCAGCAGCCTGTCTCTTACCGAGGTCAGGTTCTGACCCCGGCTCTTCGGATGGGCAATTGCCCGCCACAGCCTGGCCCCAAGCGGTCTTTTGCACCACGATCTCGGGCAGGTCAGGCCACCAGGCCCCTCCGAGTACTGTCCTGGAATGCCGGCCATCTTAGCCAGCAACAATGGTCGGAAGTCAAGTCATGGCTCTCCAGGCCAAACTCGTCTGCGATGTGTTAGTCCTGCAGGAGACACACTGGCAAGCCACGGCCGAATTTAGTGTTGCAGGCTGGTATTGCGTCTCGTCTGCATCGGCGGCTGATCCGAAAGCCTCTAGGCGAAAGCAACGCGGGGGCAAGGCCCACAAACAGCCACCTGCAGAGGCAATGCCTACTGACGATAAGACGACCCCACCCCGCAAGGAGCCCTCAACAACTCGCGCGGACGGGGTCATGGTCTTCCTGTCCCCACACATCCTGCCCAAGAGTGTGCGCTGGCAGGAACATGTCATAGGCAGAGCCCTGGAAGTCAGGTTTGACTGGCATGGGGCGCGCATGACGCTAGTTGCTGTCTACCAACACGTTTGGTCCCCGGCCAAGCAGGTGCAGACTAACCGTCAGGACAGAGCGCACGTCCTGAAGGCTCTCGGCCGATGCGTGCAGCGAGTGCCGCACAGAGACACGCTCATCCTGGCAGGAGACTTCAATAGCTCCTTACAAAAGCAGCCTAGGCTGGTAGGTCCCGAGACCATCTGCCCACAAGAACCGAGGCCCGACGAGCCAGAGCTAACCAACTTTCTACTCAATCATCGCTTAGTTGCTCTCAACACGTGGAGGCCTCAGCCGACACATACATTTCGGCAAGGGGAAACGCGCACTCAGATTGACTTTGTGCTCACGAGGGAGGTCTCTGCTGGTGGCAATGCCAAAGCCTCTACGCCGCTGGCGGATTTCCCGCTGGGCAGCTGGAAAAAAGGCGGGCACTTGCCCATAAGTGCCACTGTCAAGCCAGTTCGGCACTGGAACCTGCCTGCTCCTCAGCTACAGCAACATCACTACGACTCTGCTGCCCTGCAAGCAGCTGTCAGGGACAACACGTTGCCAGCCCAGCAAATGCTCGAGTGGGTCAAAGCACGCCTCACCCCGGACATGCAGCCGGCGTCTTGGGATCGTCTCTTTGGCGAAGCGACATCTAGGTTTTTCCCTAAGACCCCGGTGGCAATGCCAGATAGTCCGGAAACGCGCATAGCCAGACGCATGTGGCGCTCTGCGCGTGGGAGCAATGCTCACCCCAGGGCAGAGTCATCGCCGGATGATGAGGCCCGACAAACCCTGTGTGAGCAGCATAAACAAGCGGTTAAGCAGGCTCGAAAATGGCAAACAAAGCGGTTTCTTGCTGAGGTGGATCAGGCTCTGAGCCAGGGCGACCAGCACCTTGCATATCAGACTCTCAAGCATCTCCGTCCGTGGAAACCGGCCTTGAAAGCACAGCTCAAGGACGAGCAGGGCTTCCTGCTCAGTCCCGCGAACGAACTGGATGAACTGGGGCAGTATGCAGCCAAGGTCTTCGCGGCGCATCCACAGCTTCCGTCAGACTCGGGACTGTTGCCCCTCTTGCCACAGACCAAGTTAGCGAAGCACATTGCCTCGATCAAACCTGGCAAGGCAGTTCCAAAAGGAGCGGCACCGGCCGCAGCCTGGAAACTTTGCGCTCAGCCGGTCTCAGAGGCGCTTTCACAGTACTGTTCCAGTCTGGCGCAGTCCCTGGACGACGATCTGACTCGCGCGGATCTTTGCCTCATACCAAAACCGGGTAAACCGGCAGACAAGCCTTCCCAACTCAGGCCACTGGGCATCCTTCGCCCGGATGCTAAGGGACTGGCAGCCACGGCCAAGGAGCTCCTGGAGCCTCTCACAGTGCCGTACATGAAGCCACTGCCCCAGTTTGCGTACCTATGTGGGAGAGGTCTCTCTGACGCACAGAGTACTTGAGGGAAGCCAGGCAACTCTGTCGCAATGCGAATCTCACCCGAGCAGATCAACAGCGGGGACAATGTCCTGTGGGTCTAGTCGGCGGCATCACTTTCGCTCTTGACCTTTTACAGGCATTCGACACTGTCTCTCGCAGTGAGATTCTGTCCCTGCTCGATGAACTGGGTGCGGACCCCTCCCTTCAGAAGCTCATACATGGCCTTCATCATCGGTCCAAGTACAGGCTTCACTCTCAGGGGGCCTACAAGGACGTGGAAACCACCACGCGAATCAAACAAGGCTGCAAGTTGGCCCCCACGTTGTTTTCTGTGCTCACGGGCCGCCTTCTTCATAGGTTGATCGACACCTTTGGCTGGGACAATGTCCGCAAATACTTCACAGGATACGCGGACGATTTCACCATGCATCGCACCATCCGCAGCAAAGCGGACGTGGACGCCGCTCACAAGATGATCCTACAGCTTCTGTCGGAGGTGGAGAAACTGGGATGGCGCGTCAACCCGGCCAAATGTGCCGTACTCGTCAAGCTTAACGGCAGGGAGGCGGAGGCCATGCTTCAGAAACACACCTGCTGGCTCCCCGACTCGGAGGGCAAGCTACAGAGGCATTGGCGCTTAGGCAGGCACAAATCTTTCCCTGCCTACAGACTTGAGACGCAAGTCAAGTACCTGGGCATCCAAATCTCCTATGGTAACTTTGAAATGCAGACGCTGCGCTTCCGCATAGCAGAGGCTGCCAAAAAACTCCAGCAGGTTAAGCGATTCGTGTACAATCGCCGTACCGCGGGGCCCATGGCCAGGCTGAAGGTTTGGTTCACCACCGTATGGGCCACTTTGGTCACGGGACTTCCCGAAGTCGGCCTCACGGAGGAGACGGCCAGGCATCTCAGAGGATGGTATGCGCACAAGATACGCTCAGTCCTCAATCAACCTGCTCATGTCAGCCACACGCCCACAGCAGACCTGTACCGTCTGCACTCAATCCAGGACCCGGTAGCTAAAATTCAAGCTAGGATGACTTCCAGACTTAAGCGGTTGTGCAAAAGACCAAGCAACCCCGAGGCCATCCCCTCAGCCCTGCCGGCGAACATTCTAAGAGCATCCTCGGTGATGCGAGGCCCATGGGCCCAGCTGGGTCCCTCAGCAACGAGCTCAGAAGCACACCAGCAGCCGTCACGGCCAGCTACATATGGTGATGTCACGCAAATGAGTCACGGTGTACAGGACCTGCAGGACATGCTGAGAGAGGTCGAAAACCTTCCGGCATCTACTGAAGCCTCGCAGCAGAGACTTCATTCCTGCCCTCACTGCGGGTCTGGCTTTGTCTCTGCACACGGCTTGCACATGCACGTTACGCGAATGCATCGAGAACACGTGTCGAGGTACATTCCCCCCTCCTTTGATCGCAGTCGGCATTGTAAGGACGGTCTACCTGTCTGTTCTGCATGCGACAAGGCCTTCCATCAATGGAAAGGCCTACGCGACCATCTCTTGTCGGGGGCCTGCACGCAGCCGGATCGCCTGCGCCAGATCTCCCTCACCACGGAGGAACTGCTGCAAGGTCAGGCCCTCCAGGGCTTGGCGGCCTTCCGAGCTAAGGTGCAGAGCTCGCCAAGCAACCGACTCAGTGCCCTTGCCACCCAG